TGGCGATATACTAAAGAAATTGTTCATGACTTTTGTTAGGCCAAAGCTAGAATATGCAGCTGTTGTGTGGTGCCCATATCTTAAGAAGCACATCAACAAACTGGAAAAGGTGCAAAGACATGCTACTTGGCTAAACTGAAGGGCATACGAGGATGAAGCGCCATAGAAGACAGAAGAAAAAGAGGTGATATGATCACTAATACAAAATAGTGCTAAATTGTTCATGACTTTTGTTAGGCCAAAGCTAGAATATGCAGCTGTTGTGTGGTGCCCATATCTTAAGAAGCACATCAACAAACTGGAAAAGGTGCAAAGACATGCTACTAAGTGGCTCCCAGAACTGAAGGGCAAGAGCTACGAGGAGAGGTTAGAAGCATTAAATATGCCAAAACTAGAAGACAGAAGAAAAAGAGGTGATATGATCACTACATACAAAATAGTAACAGGAATTGATAAAATCGACAGAGAAGACTTCCTGAGACCTGGAATTTCAAGAACAAGAGGTCATAGATTTAAACTAGCTAAACACAGATGCCGAAGAAATATAAGAAAATTCACCTTCGCAAATAGAGTGGTAGACGGTTGGAACAAGTTAAGTGAGAAGGTGGTGGAGGCCAAGACCGTCAGTAGTTTCAAAACGTTATATGACAAAGAGTGCTGGGAAGACGGGACACCACGAGCGTAGCTCTCATCCTGTAACTACACTTAGGTAATTACACTTAGGTAATTACCTGTTGGACGGTTGAGAGGCAGGACCAAGGAGCCAGAGCTCAACCCCCACAAGCACAACTAGGTGAGGACATATATTGTAAAAGCACAAGCCGCCGACTAGTGGCAGAGAGCACTACGCCGGCCAGGCAAAGAAGGCACAAAACTGCATCAAAAGGCCCACCTCGACAGCAAAACCACAAAGTCCCAGCACAACCACAACATGTGTCAAGACCCAAAAAGCTCAGTCTGCAAGCCAGGAAGACCCCGGAACCCCAAAAGGCAGAACCGGGTCACACGAGGAAACAAAGTCCCCTGAACCCACAAAAGGGGGCCCAAGAGGAAGAAACCTCCAGAACGAAACCAAGGAACCCAAAGGAACCCAGAATCGAACCAGGGGGAGCCCAAACCACCACATTTGCCGGCGGAGAACACCACTGAAAGGCAAAGCACAGCCCCCAGCAGAACGCCCTGGGAAAACGGTCCCAACAGACCGAAAACCGAGGGGCAAGGTGTGGGAGCAAGCATACCAGCCAGGGGCACTGAGCCTAAACCCATAGGCTCAGACCCAAAATCAACACCCAAACGTTCCCAGAGGAACAGGCAACGGCAAGAAAACACCAGAAAAACAAAGAAACGACAACAGAACAAAAACCCTGAAAAATTTTTGAAAACTCACCAGAGATGCTCGCTCGCACACCCAGACGCATGTAAACAAACCGCAACGTTGCCCTGGTGGCCACGCTGTGAAACCGGCAGACGAAAATGGCCGCCAGCAGGGGCTGTGACTGACGCTAAATACACAAAAACACGCCAGCAAATGTGGGAAGCTAGTAGACTGGAAGGGCGAAAAACGCCGCCCAACAGCAGAAAAACCCCGGAAGGGGCAAAACCGCCCCAGAACTGCAAGCAGGCAACCCCCACAGCCCCGGGAAACAACAACAGAGGCCCCGGGGCAGAGCCGTCCTCCAAGCCCTCCGCCCTTAAAGAAAAGCAAGAGTCCATGGGAAAGGCAACAAGAAAGGGCCGCTGGTAAGACCCAGAAGCCTTGGCAGGAGGCACAGGCTCAAACCTCCGTCCCCAACCCGAACGGGGCAGCCCCCGAAAACCGCCCGAGTCTCTGCCGCAACTAAACCCCGCCCCGACCCCGAAACCCGCAGACGGTCCGGAGCCGGGAACATGGAGAGAAAGGGGCGAGCAGCACCTAACCAAACGGGGCGGCCACGGGGCATTCGAGTGGGAAATCAACCTAGCATGTTGCAGCAACCTAACCTAGCTTGCAACATGGATGCCGCCTGTACTCTGAACAGTAATAACATCAGGAGAGTACTGGAGAACAAGCAGAGAATCACTCACAAGACTCCGGGTCAAGGTGTCAGTGACCCAACAGGCAGCACGACGGAGGTAAAAATGGCGACTGTCACCCGGAGACAAGGGAACAGCAACCAACGATCCCGTACAAGACGGGTTGGAACCCGGAAGACACATTCAATGGTCCCCCGAGCCCAGACAGGGGTTTCCAGGGCCCGTAGGGTAACAACTACGGGAAGCCCGGGCAAGGTGTTGCTAACCGGTTAAGAAACCCAAACATAACAAACATAACAACACTCCTCTTGTACCTGTCAGGGCAGTCGCTGTTGGCATTTAGGCACATTCCTATGTTTGTTTCCAACAATGCCAACAGCGACTGCCCTGACAGGTACAAGAGGAGTGTTGTTAACGCATACGTCGACCGTGCTCTCAGCCACAGCTCAGAATGGAAGCAAGTCGACGAAGAACTCTGTAGGGTAAGGCAGGTCCTAGTCAATAACGGCTTCTCCAATGGTTTCATCGAAGACATCATAAGAAGGAAAGTGAAAAGCCATGCAACCTCTGAAGAGACAACTAACACAACACCTATACCCCCTATTAGACTATTTTACAAGAACTTCTTTTCCACAGCTCATAAAACGGAGGAAAGGGTCCTGAAAGATATTGTTAATAGAAACGTTATCCCTACAGACAAAAATCAGAGGATACAACTGACGATTTACTATAAAACCAGAAAAATGGCCAGCCTACTCATGAGAAACTCTCCAGACACAAAACAGAACACTTTAAAAGAGACTAACGTCGTCTATGCCTTCAAATGCCCACTTGGGGACTGTAAGCTCCAAAAAACCCAGTATATAGGCAAGACAACAACATCTCTTTCTAGGCGTTTAACGATGCATAAGCAACAGGGCTCCATTAAGGAACATATAATCTCTTCCCACAACCAAACCATCGCCAGAGAAATCCTAGTAAACAACACAGAAATCATCGATAGATAGAGCGATAGCAGGCGGCTTGACGTTTGCGAGGCACTACACATCAAGAAGTCAACACCAGCAATCAACAGCCAATTATTGCACAACTATATTCTACCCACCTCAAGACTCCGCTCCAATATAGAAGCATCAAGAAATATGGACCAATAGGCTTTCTACAAACACTTCTATTCAATACCCATTGTTTCTGTTCTGTCTTGTGTTGATACTTTTAATACCCTATTAATATCCCCTCTTGTTCTGTCTTGTGTTAATGCCACATCACCCCTCCCACCTCACTCAAATGTAGATATAAAATTGGAGATACGTAAGTTCTAATCAGTTGTGTATTTGTGAAGTCTTTGAAAATGTAATAAGTTTTACGAAACGCGCCCGTGTCGCGTCAGACTAGAAATAAAAATGAATTTTGGAGAAGTGATTTTTGATTTACCTCCAACAGTGAAGCGTAATGTACGAAAGATTGAGAAAATTCGTGTTAGAATTATTAATCTTACTTTTTCGGTCATATTTAATAATATATGTCTACAGGAAAGACTGCTACCAAAATATACTAATATATATATATATATATATATATATATATATATATATATATCACATTATATTGTGATATCACAATATAAACAGTGAGAAGGTGGTGGAGGCCAAAACTGTCAGTAATTTAAAAGCATTATATGACAAAGAGTACTGGGGAGACGGGACACCACGAGCGTAGCTCTCATCCTGTAACTACACTTAGGTAATTACATACACACTAGAAACAATAGTTAAAGCCAAATGGATTAAACACCTGGGGCCAATAGATTCACGAAGCAGTTACAAAAGTACTTACGAACATGTACATCTTTTCTCAATCTTTGACCGCTTTGGTTACATTTATAAAACAGTTCACAAGCATGAAAACTTCCCAATCAACTGTTGTTATTGTATCAACAGCCTCCTGGTGCTTCGGAGCTCATTAACTGTTTAATAATTGTAAACAATGCCACCAAACATTGAGAAATGATGTACAGGTTCGTAAGTGCTTGCGTAACTGCTTCGTGAATCTGGCCCCTGGAGAGTAGTGACCTAATAACAAACAGGCAGTATGGTATTCGAACAGGAAGATCCTGTGTACTGAGAAGATGGGACACCACGAGCATAGCTCTCATCCTGAACAGTAATTACACTTGGGTCTCTTGCACATATCAATAAACTGGAAAAGGTGCAAAGACAGTGCTGCTAAATGGCTACTGGAACTGAAAAACAAGGGGTACATGGATACAATAAAGGTGTTAAATTTACCAAAGCTAGAAGATAGAAGAAAAAGAGGCCAAATGATTATTACTTACAAAACAGTGACAGAAATTGACAAAATTATCATTACTCGCAAAACAGTAACAGAAATCTACAAAATTAACAAACAGGAGTCCTTGCAAAATAGTAACAGAAATCTACAAAATTATCAGACAGGAATCTTTGAAACCTGCAGCTTTAAGAACAAAAGGTCTGATTCAACCTATAGAAACAAAGGTAAGAGAAAAATATTAGGAGATTACCGTTGTGAGTCACAATAACATGGCTGAAGAAATGACCAAAGCACACAAAAGAAGACGGAGAAACGATGACATTTCAGTCCATCCTGGACCATTATCAAGATGTGTGTGAATAGAAAGTTCTCCTTTGCAAAAAGAGTGGTAGATGGTAGGAACAAGTTAAGTGAAAAGGAAATGGATGCCAAAACCATCAGTAGTTTCCAAGCGTTGCATGACAAAGAAAACTGGGAAGACGCAACACCACGAGCCTTTAACTACATTTAGGTAATCACACACATGTCTACATTCTTGGTTTCATGCCTGTTGAATCACTCAGTTGATGCTCATAAAGGACAACTTGCTCGCTTTTTCCTCCCTCCCTCACACTCAAGACACTTGTTGCATGTAGGCATCTAATCTTCAGGACAAAGCATGCAAAGTTCATAAAGCAGAGAAACATTTTACTTACCATTAAGGGCATGTCGATTCGATAGTCTTTGGTGGCAAATTGGACATTCTAAACTTTTGCTGTGAGATGATCTATGTTCTGTGAGATAAGAAAATAATAAGAACATCAAGGGTAATGAAATGCACCTTTCTGCACTCAGTCTCAGTAGCTCAGCTAGCTTATGTACTGACCATTACTGACCTTTACTGATCAGACTTTAACAACACCCGAAATCATACACGAGACTCACTGCCTGCCAAGGAGTCAAAATGAATTGACTAAAAGTCTTTGCAAAGTTCCCTTGCCCCCTATACAGTATGTGACTGGGTGCCCAAGAAAATTTAATATCAACCCAATACCAAACCAAAGTCATTTAAATGCAATGAAAAACAAGACACTCAAACTCCCTCCAAGATTTGTTTTCAAAAGTGCTTAACTACTAAAACATGACTGATAACTATTAACCACTGAACTGCGCAACGCGCCTGCAGACACTTGACAGGGGGGTGCACAACGCGCTTCCGGGATCTTATATTTTTAGCGTAGGATTCAAAACTCCCGCGGCTACATGGGATTCACATCAGCTTCCTCAGGGCTCTTGTAAACAGATGCCATTTATAAAAAAAAAAATCGTGGGCAACATTCCCGTGTGTGAGAGCCTCAGTACCAAGTGAGCAACCAAGGTTGGCACATGCAACATGAGCTCACAGCACTGCTGTTCAGCTTGTGACCACAGCATCGCCTAATAATGTCAAAATATATATATAACTGGTATTATTTAGCCATGATAGTATTACAGAAGAGCCTGAGTATGATAATGACTGTGTACAATGTTCAAATATCAGTGAATCAATGCTATTCACAATGTTCACAGCGCTAGCCACAGCACCACAACATTATTTCGTCCATCTAGGAATCTTTAAACGACTTCTTATGTTACTCTACAAAATAAACTTGTGGTCAGTTATTCCTTTACAGGATTTAGTGACCAGGATTGTGATAGTAGCAGAATTGTGGTGATAATTAGTGCTGTGTGTTGTGTTGTGGGAGGAGGAAGTTTGGTGAGGGAGGGAAGGAGGGAGGGAGGGAGGGAATCCAGATAGCATCACTGTGTGTGGCAGCCACTCTTGTTTTGCTCACCATACTAGCTTAGTGGTTCACTATGGTGAGCACATATGTATATGGGTATATACAATATGTGTATATAATGTAATAACAGCAACAGGAATATGTTAGGAGGAGCCATTTTGATGAGGGAGGTGGCGTCGTACTCGTAGCGTCATCTGCTGGCTGCTGTGTGATTTCTCATGCAGTGTATGGTGGCCACTATGCTGTTTGGACACAATACTGGCTTACTTGCATAGTTATGGCGAATAAAACATGTAGATACGTATACATAACATGTGTAAATAGTGTAATAAAAACAATAGCAGTATGGTGGGAGGTGCATTGTTGGCGAGTAAGGTGTAAGGAGTAAGCTAGATGTTGGAGGAGTGAGGGAGAGCTGGCTAGGTGTGGCAGCTCACACTCACAGAGTTCTGAGTGTGTTGATGGTGAATGTATATAGTGTGTGACAGTGTATAGTGTGTAAGTATGTTATAAATATACATAAATGAACATGAAACATTGGATATACTGTATGAGCAATATATGTGGACACATTTGTGACACACACAACACAGTGTCTTGGGACAGTACGGATGTTCTACTGCCATAATATTGCGTACATGTTTATTATACATAGGATTGGTAAGAAAAAACAAAACAAATGTATTTGAAAATGTATGCAAAAAATGAACAAAAAATATTTGTGGCAACTGTATGTTGAAGCTGGCGGGCGACTGGCTCTGGGAGTCTACATCTCGGGCAACCACCAAATCGCGACATCACATGCCATTTTCCGGACCCCATTGCGACCAAAGTAATTACAATTTTGACTATTTTTTTTTACATATCTGTGATCAGGGAAGGGTATTTAACATTTTCAAAAACAAAAAACAAAATTTCCCAAAAATTTATTTCCTGCGCACAGGGCAGGGGAGGGAGGGGTTGCCGTATTTGGAAGGTGAGCACACAGTGGTTAAACAAGTAATCCTAGAGAATGTTCCCATCTGCCATTAGGTGGCAGTAGACCCACTTTCAAGTCTGGCAATGCAAACATCCTCATTATCCAGCCCTCATGCAAAATCTAGCTCCAAGAAAGAAGAGAGAGACAGGGCGAGGGCAAGGAGCTACCTTGGCCAAGACCAGAATACAGTACAGCATTTGGTACATTCAAGACTTATTACAGGGCTATCCACTCAGTAGCTCCTGTATATTACTCCTAATAGTACCTTGCATTTGAAAGCCTTCCACCATACAAGAAATGAACAAACAGCAGAACAAAAGCAGGCTAAGAATAACCGGGAGAAGTGAGCATCCAGAGCACACGATCCAGGGAAGAGGAAGTAGAGACCACAGATAAAGTAACACCGTACAACATTATACCGTTAAACCAACCTACCTTACCTTGTGGCTACCTAGTGGAGGTTCTGGGGATCAATGGCCCCATGGCCCGGTCTCCATACCAGACCTCCCAGTTGGTCGTTAAGTCAACCAGGCTGTTGGACACTGCTGCTCGCAGCCTGACATATGAATCACAGCCTGGTATTCTTTGGAGGTATTTATCAAGTTGTCTTTTGAACACTGTGAGAGGCCATCCAGTTATGACCCTTATGTGTAGGGGAAGAGTGTTGAAAAGTCTTGGACCCTCGATGTTGATAGAGTTCTCCCTTAGAGTATCTATTGCCAAGGACAAGCTAGAGAAAGGAGAGCACAGGCTACTAGCACCTAAGTAAAGCATCATAACCGCTTAGTCCTGATCGAGGTCACAGGCAAGGCTAAAGATGCTGTAAAAGCCATCAAAAAGCACCTCCCTCCTCGCCTCACCACTCTACCCAACTCGCTATCATCCTCACACACCTTGTCCTTCTCCAGACACACCTGGAGCATACCTGGAGTGTGTTTTGGGAGTTCTTCTGCTCCCGAAACCGGCCTGAGACCAGGCTCAACTTGTGATAACTTGGTCAAACAGGCTGTTGTTTGGAGCAGCCCGCAGGCCCACATATCCACTACATCCTGGTTGATCAGGCACTTCTTGCAAGAACTTATTTAAGTGCCTCTTGTATACATCTACCTTTGTTTCAGCAATATTTCTAATGCTTGCTCGGAGGGTGTTGAATAGCCGTGAACTCCCTGATGTTCAGAAAGTGCTCTTTGACTGTGCCCATGGCACCTTTACTCTTCACTAATTCTATTCTGCATTTCCTTCCCATACATTCCATCCCTTCCCTAAATACTCTCTCTCTCTCTACCCTTACCAGTACTCCATCCATCCTTTCCAGCCATCCATCCTTTGTACTACGGGGACCCTCTTTCCTCCCGGAAAAGGGTTCCGGTAATACAGTCGAGTTCGTTCTCGGTGCACAATCGAGAATTCCGGATTCAAATCCCAGGCAGGACAGAAATGGTTGGGAACATTTCCTTTCACCTAATGCCTCTGTTCACTTAGCAGTGAGTAGATACTCAGGAGTTAGTCAGCTTGTTGTGGGGTTGCATCCTAGGTGGGGTCAGTAATTCGGCCTATGGACTTCGATATAACTTTACCGTGTATGAATACACTCTGGCTTCCTGACCCCCGACACAATGAAATATTATTTAATTACTCTTTTATCCTACTCATACACCCATTTCCAGTACAGAACAACTACTGTATTGGTCCCTGCCAGCAGATGGGGTTTTTATATAGGTGAAACAAATAGCATTTTAAATGTTTGAATGTGAGGCATGCCTGTTTGTCAAGGTACAGCTCATTAATTGCAGATATACGATATGAGGCGATATGTAGATGGGTAGATTTATACATACTGTACATTGATAAATAGATACATAGGCATATATTCATATACAGACAATGAGATTGAGATTGCCTGGATGACTGACTGTGGTGTGTCAGGCAAGCAATTGCTAGAAGACTATGACATTGGCACTAGCACGGTTTCAAATAAAGTAATTTATAAAAATGCAAAAGTTGGCAATCACTGAGTCTGTCAGTATGAAGTAGATTATTTTCTTGCATTTATACAAATATTATTTATATCCCACCAAAATAATTGTTAATATGTTATTTGTGTATCTAAATATGTATAAATAAATGTATTATTACTTGCTATAAAGAAAAATCCAAAACATTTGGTGGTAAATAGTAAAAAAAAAAAATGGTGTTGAATGCAATGAAACGCCCTTTTCTGGGTGAGACCCAGAGGCTCCCCGGAGCTATTTAGTCTGATTTTGCTAATATTAGACTTTTGCTATCAGCGTGAATAGAGTTCTTAGGTCTACTGGGAACCACGAGCCAGAACTTGGCCCCCCCCTCAGAGAGGCACGAGGAGAGATGGCCTATAGAAACCCCCCATGTGGTTGGAAGCATTCTATACTTGCCACCGACCGGGTCAAGCACCCAGAAAGGTAAGCATCTTAAAACAAACCCCCGTTCTGGTTAAGAAATTGCTACTGAGAGCCGAACTAGTGGACTGAACTCCCCAGACAAAAACGAGCAAGACCTCACCATGTCGTTTCGCCGCCATCTGTGCAGCTCCCCCCTCTCCGGGAAGGGGGGAGCTGCACAAACCCTGGAACAACCTCCAAGTGACCCGGGAGGCCCCCAGAAACAGGCAAAGACAGGACCACAGCTGAAGGAGAGACTCTGCAGGGAGAGACAAAGAAGCGGTCCGAGAATCCCAAACAAGATCCAGCCAAGGGGTCTGGATCTGGTTCCCTCCCAGGTTCCCTCCCGAACCTGGGAGGGAACCAAATGGGACTTCCTCCAGTTCACCAAGAACCTGAACCCAGCGAGCTGGGAAAGAACCAAATCCTTTGGGAGCAGACAAACGGACCGGCTGGGAGCCCAAACCAGCCAGTTGCTGAGGTAGGCCAACACCCGAACACCTAACAGACGCAGACGGGTCACCACGACCTGAGTAAGGTGTGTGAAAACGCGAGGTGCCAGGTTCAACCTGAACGACAGACAACGAAAGCAGTATTTCTGATGCCCCACAACA